AGGACTTCAAACAAAAAAAAAAGTAATTTTCTGTTTTGTTTTATTCTTGGATCAGGCTTTAAAGGGATAAATTTGATATTTGAGTGTTGCTTTTGATTGTACAGTTTTATGTTGCTTTTAATTTTGTAGCCATTACATTTGCATGCATTTTTAAGCTGTTGCATTTCTGAGGAGGAAGTGCAAGCTTATATTTGCTTTTGCCAATGAGTTTTATGCATCAGTGTATTGGACCATGGAGTTATTATTTGTAATTTCTATTTTCAACCTGATGATTAAACCTTAGCCACAAAGATCTTAGAGACTTAGACTTAGACAACTGTTATTGTAATTTAGTATACACAGAGTGTATACAAAACACAATTTCCTTTTGTACAGCTTTCAGACAGTGAATGAACAGCAGTTGTTCCTCTTCCCTTTAACAGTATTCTAATATTTTCCGTGTGTGCAGAAATAATTTAACAGAGGTTTATTTAGGGCCTCATCTCTGTCTGGATGGTCTTATTTTGTCATTCAGTTTTTTGAGTCATCTTCACACCAAAATCAAACATTGTATGGTGTTCGGGTTGTCCATCTAGACTTAGCTTCTGTCTGAGATTATTTAACCAACATGTATATGACAACCATTAAATGGTTAAAGAGACCCAGACCTGTACTGAGAAAGCTCCAATACTTGAGGGAACAGTTAGCTATAGTATAGAACTGAAAAACTCACAGTGTTCTGAATAAAAGACATTTATTACCCAGCCAGGAGAGCAGCACAGTGGAAAAAATCGAAATCTAGACAATTCATTTTTTTCTTAAAATAAGTGCATTTGTTCTTGGATTGAGGAGGTAAAAGAGATATTTTGCCAATGGAACAAGACAATTTACATTTATAATAAGAAAACGCAATTGCATTGTCTTACTTCAAGTTAATATTATCGAATTATCTTATTTTTTAGAGTAAAAATACTCATTCCATTGGCAAACTATCTCATTAACGTACTGAAATCAGGGGTAAATATTCTTAATTTTATTATTTCTAGATTGTTTTTCCAGTGTAGGAGAGCTGCACTATCTACAAAAACAATCTAGAAATAAGCAAAAATGTCTTAAATTAAGTGTATTTACCCCTAATTTGAGTAGGTAAATAAGTTAACTGAATGTTTAACACTAAAAAAAGATAATATGCACTTGAAGTGAGACAATGCAATTGTTTTTCTCTTATTTTAACTGTAAATTGTCTTGTTCCATTGGCAAAGTGTCTCAACACTTCAATTCAAGATTTTAGAAAAAAATTACTTGTTTAGATTAAAAATTTTTGCAGTGTACATCACTATTGTCTAATCTATTGGGGTGTTAATTATCAGCTTTAACATGATACAATGTTGTATGGATTTGATTTGACAATGACACCCGATGTCTGCTGATATCACAAAATCTGTCATATATTTTTCATTTTAATTTACAGGTCTATGATTATTTGGATTTGATGTGAGGAGCCCATTTAGTATTTATTAATACCAGTATTATCTCACAAAATAAAAACATCAAATTAATTTGACCGTTTTATGTTAAAGCTCTTACAGGCATAACCTTGTGCCCTCTGAATTTAAAAAGGTGCATAATAAAGATGATGATATTGTTATGTATTTTCATTTTGGATAATTAATGATTTATTTAAGTTAATCGCTGTATTGT